CCCTCCGTTCGTGGGGCGGGCAAAAGCCGAGCGCCCCACCGCTGCCTCTGGCCCAGCACCCCTGCCGCCCTTCTCTTTCCGGGACAAAAAGGAGTGGCGATTCCCTTTCTTAAGAACTCCCAGGGCCCCTCGCACCATTGCACACCCCAGAACACCTTCTGGCTCCGTCTTCGGCCCGTATCGGGGGCTCCTGATAGCCTGGGCGGCCTCCCGGGGCGGGCAAAAGCCGAGCGCCCCACCGCTGCCTCTGGCCCAGCACCCCTGCCGCCCTTCTCTTTCCGGGACAAAAAGGAGTGGCGATTCCCTTTCTTAAGAACTCCCAGGGCCCCTCGCACCATTGCACACCCCAGAACACCTTCTGGCTCCGTCTTCGGCCCGTATCGGGGGCTCCTGATAGCCTGGGCGGCCTCCCGAAAATGAGCCCCGCGCGGCCCAAACCCTCGGCCGTGGTTGGCGAGATTAGACATCGAGAGCCGCCTAAAGCAAACACTGCACGGCCTTGTTCCCGGTCGGTCTTTGCCTCCCTCTTGCTCTCCCTGGCTTTGCAAGAAGGCGGCAGGCCTGCTTCCTTGGGGAGGTCGTTCTCATTTTTTCCCCTCCTCCCCGCCTTCTCGGGTGACAGGGACCTTTGACCCATCTCCCCTTCACACGTTTTTTTCCTGGACTGGATCGCACTCTTTGGGGAAAGGGCCCCTTGCACCTTTCTGGAAAGGTGATCTCCCCTGTTCCGCTTTCCGCTGCATCCAGTGCAGAGACATCCTGCCTGGACATGCGCAGCCAGCCAGGCCAGGCCAGGCTTGCCCAAGGGCAGCCAGCCACTTGAATAGGTGCACCACACACAGCCACCTTTGGGGCAGCAGGGAGTCTTTCGCAACTTCCCTGGAGAATTGGACAACCCTCTTTTGTGAGACTCACCCTGACTCACCCTGGCGGAGGGGATGGTGGAGAGCAGGTCTGAGCAGCTTTGAGGTTTCTCCCAGCAAGGACAGGAGGTGAGCTCTGCTCTCTGAAAGGTTAGCTTCCAAGGTCCCCAATCATCAGCAGGTGGTGTTTATGTCTCAAGTCAAGCATCTGGGATAGCTGCCTCCGGGGGTGGGGGGTGGGGTGGGGGTAACTCATTCTGAATTCTGGCTTGGGGGGCTGGGCCTTCAGGTGTGTGTGTGGTTCAGGGGAGGTGGAAGAAAGTTTGCCTGCTTGCAGCCCTGGCGAAAATGCAGTCTAACCTTTGAGGGCTTCTGTGGTTGCTCTCCCTGAATCTGGCACAACCAGTCTCTTGCACCGCCAGCTCAGCCATGTGGGAGGAAGTGTGGTGAGTTCTCGCCCAGTGTCCCCACCTATTCACCAGGGAGAAATGAAAGGATCGGTGGCAGGAAACCCCCTAGGGCCCTTCTCCTGAAGGTCCCTCCCTTGTGGAGCCGAAGTCTGGCCGGGCATGCCAGCCAGGCCCTCCTTCCCTCTCCCAGCCTATCTGGGTCAGCTTCTGGTGGACAGTCATGGTGGGTGGGAGAGGAGTCAGGCAGGCGTTCTCTCCTTGCCTTCTCTGGGCAGCATTTGTCTTGGGCACCTTCCTGCTTGGTTTCTGAAGTCAAGAGAGATCAGCCCTGTTTGGGCTTGGGCCAAAACTGTCAGCCTTGATGCCAAGCGAGAAGATGGACCGAGAGCTTCCCCCGGACCCCTGCAGAACTCTCTCTCCTTTGTGTGTTTTCTTCCAGGGCTCTGGCCAGTGACAGCGATTGAGATTTACACCCCCGGGAGCCTGGAAGCTCTGAATGGGACGGATGTTCGCTTGAAGTGCACCTTCCACAGCCACATCCCTGTCGGGCGGCAGCTGACGGTCTCCTGGAACTTCCAGTCCCAGACTAAGAGCCGCACGGATTTTGTGAGTCCATCTCAGCCTCTTCTCTGAAAGAGCACACGGCGCTTCCTGCCATGAGCGGAGGCCTGGTCACAATCCAGTGGTCTACTCGACACAGAGCAGAGTGAGAGGCCTTTGGCCTTCCAGAGGTTTCAGGCTTCACTTCCTGGAACCTCTGTTGTTATTTATTCCTTTAGTTGTCTCCTTTACAGTCCACCTTTCTCCTGAGGAGTGGACTATGGGTGTTGTAGCTGAAATGGGACCAAGAGTTCTCAGACCCTCCCCTGGAGCATTGGGCATTCTCTGGCCCAGTCTCAACCCAGCACTCCTGCCTTAGAAGTTGCCTCCCCTTCCCACACTCGTGGCTTCACCCTCCAAAGAGCAAAGGCCAGGCAGGGAGTGTTAGCTGGTGGAGTGGGAGTGAGATTCCAGAGCCCTCGGAGGGACAATCAGAAGCTTGTGGGTGGGTGGGGGCACCTATTTGGAAATACCCTCTTGAAAGAGTGCCGTCCACTAATTGACCATGTCCGCCGAATGCTGGTCTGTGGAAGGTGATTTGGGCAGCAACCCCCACCCCCCCCATGACTAATTGCACTATGAGAGGAAACAGCTGTGGTCCTATTCTCTGCAAAAGCCACACATGTGCACATGCACTCACTAAGTCCAGTGGGAACCCAGCCCTAATTGCTCTCCTCAAGTAAGCTTCACCAAGAACAACACTTTGTAATGGCACAACCCAAGACATTTTGCCCCCTGGACGTGGAAGGGCCATAAGGATGAACAGTCTTGCTGTTGAATTCAGATGCCCGTCCTTGCCATGGTTGGCTCCTCTTGTCCTCCCTTCATGGCCACTCTTGGCTGGTGCTAACTCTCAGTCATCCCCACAGTTTCATCCCTTCCCCAAATGAGGTCTTCTTCCTTTAAGAGATTTCTGATGTCCTGTCAGAGACTTTCCTTCTTGTGGGACAGGAGCTTTTTCAGAAGAGGAGTGACCGTAAGGAAGGTGAACCAGTGAACATCTCTCTCTCTCTCTCTCTCTCTCTCAATCTCTCTCCTGTTCCCCCCCTGCCGGCTAGGTTTTGTACTACCACGAGGAGATCTATCCACCCCTAAAGGGCCACTTCATGGGCAGGGTCACCTGGGATGGCAACGTCTTCAAGAACGATGCCTCTATTATGATTTGGAACGTGAACCCCAGTGACAACGGGACCTTCCAGTGCCAGGTGAAGAACCCACCCGATGTGGATGGCGTGGCTGGGGAGATCCAGCTGAGTGTGGTGATGAAAGGTTGGTGAGTGAGGCAGGGGTGAAGCAGGGGGTGGGTTGGGGGTGTTTGTGGTGGATGGGGCTGAAGAGGCTGCGGCAGTAAGACACGAAGGGCTCCTTTCTCCCTCTCGACCCCCCTCCCCCTCCCCCCACCCTTCTTCTCTCACCAGTGAGTTTTTCAGAGATCCATATCTTAGCCCTGACCATTGGGATTGCTTGCGCTGTGATGATTGTCATTGTGGTTGTGATTGTCATCTTCCGTCATCGGCGGAGGGTTCGGCAAGACAAGAAACTGGAGGTGAAACTGTAAGTGTCCACATGAGGTGTCGATCAGCTCAGGAGGGCAAGTTGGCCTGGCCTGTAATGAGGGCGGGCTAGCCGCCTCGTGCCTGGCCATTCCCTCCTACTATATGGTCACTGCTTTAGTAAAAACTGCTCTAACTGGGAGCCGGAATTACAAGAATTCTGCTGGTTTCCTCTCTGCAGAGAGGGAGCATTTGGAGCTGTCGCCCGCCTAGGCTAGAGGGGCTACTGCCCACCCTCTCGCCTGGTTCCGAGGCCTCGAGTGCATGAACAGAGAGAAGTTCCCCTTTCAATAAGTCAAAGGGGAAGCAGAAGGAGTTGAGTGGGGCACAGAGCTGGCTAAGAAGAACAGGCCGCTGTGGGGCACAGGGGCTGACCCATCAGGGAGAGAGACCTGAGCCACCCAAGGCTGCGCTGCATGTATTCTGGAGGAGCAAGGGGAAAGTGTGTGTGTGTGTGTGTGTGTGTGTGCATGGGGGGGGGAAGGCAGTGCTCCCAGGCCCTCTCGGCCTGAGGTTGGGGGGGTGATGCTCCTGCTGTCTTTCTCCAAGTCCTGGAGGGGCTCCATCCCATTCCACAGAGAGGCCAATCAGGCTGGTTTGCCTGCTGGTTGGCCGAGCAGCTGAGCTCCCCCCCCCCTCGGGCGACTGTCTCTCTGACGCCTCTTTTCCTCTCGCTGAGAAACAGGCCTGAGAAGGAGAAGCTGAAAGAGGTTCCAGAGGAGAAGGAAATGTCCCAGCTGGGAGAGGAGGCCTGATCCTGCTGGTAGGTGCCTTACACACCCACACCCACACACCCCCACCCACCCCACACACACCACCACCACCACCACCATGGCAGGTGTGGCCTGGTTGTCAGGCAAGCAGTGAGGCAGAGGGGATGGGAAGGGGAGGGGAGGGAGGAGGCTTGGTCTCAAGAGCAGACACTCTGGCCCTTCTGGGCAGGGTGTTACCCCTTGTGTGAGAGCCAGTCTGGGGTAGTGGGCAGACTATATCTTAGGAGACCTGGGTTAAAATCCCTACTCAGCTATAGAAACTCATGGGAGGGGGGGAGGGGGCACTGGTAAAATCACTCCTTAAATGCTTTGACGGGAGGGGGGGAGGGGACACTGGTAAAATCACTCCTTAAATGCTTTGAAAATCTTATTAGGGCTGCCAGAAGTTAGATGGAACTTGATGGCTTGTAGTAACACCAGCACCAGCAGCAGCACCAGCAGCAACAACAGTCCCCACTTGTAGACAGAAAGGACCAGGGCGGATCTTCCTCCTTGCCCTCCTGAGCATTGTGCTGCCACTGCAGCAGCAACCTGCCAGTTCCCCTGGAGCGATGCTCCTCAGGTCAACCTGACCTGTTTAGAACTCCTTGCTAGTCACCGAGCCAGCAACCCATCCAAAAGTGATCACATGTCCACCTTCTTCTTCCCTAAAAGGTTCCACCACACACACCCTCCCCAGTCTTCAGCTTGGATGCCAAGGGACTAGAAGGTGCCTTTTCAGGGCTCTGGACCAAAGACAGGGGTTAGAAAGAAGAGGCTGCTTTCCTTATCCTGGAGGAAGGAAGACTCCATTCAACATCACCTGTAGCCACTGGAGTGAGAGGAGCCTCACCACACTCGCCTGTGTAAAAGGAAGCACAGACCACCTGCCAGATCAGGCCTTCTTCCGCAGTCTCGCATTGACAAGCAGGGGAGGGGGGCGGTGTGGAAGAGGGGCGTTTTCTCATTTCTTCTTGCAAAACTGCCCCCTTCTTGAAAGCACAAGAACAACATTCCTGGAATCAGAGAGAATTGTCTAGGCAATGCCATGTGAAGCCAACAGGGCCACGAGCAGCACCTGCTCCACACCAATGTTTTCCAGAGAGAGAATCCATGGCAGGGAGGCTCCCTTTTTCTCCACTGCCCGGAAGTAACCCTGCAGAAGCTGCCAGGAAAGAGAGGCCAGGCCAGGCCAGCAAATCCTAGAAGAGGGACCTGCTGCGGGGGGGGGGGGACTGGACTTGAGGGAGCCCCATCTTCCTCCTTGTGTGAGCTGTCCTCTGAAACAGACTGGGAAGAAGCAACTAGCAAAAGGTGTGTGTGTGGGGGGGTGATGACAGCCATGCTGTCCACGAGTGCCACAGGTGGGCTGGCGGGCTGTGCAGTTGTTTTGGCAGCCAAAATGGGAGGGTTTGCTGAGTGCTTTCCCTGCCAAAGGCCAATCCAAAAGCCCCATCTTCCTCCTTGTGTGAGCTGTCCTCTGAAACAGACTGGGAAGAAGCAACTAGCAAAAGGTGTGTGTGTGGGGGGGTGATGACAGCCATGCTGTCCACGAGTGCCACAGGTGGGCTGGCGGGCTGTGCAGTTGTTTTGGCAGCCAAAATGGGAGGGTTTGCTGAGTGCTTTCCCTGCCAAAGGCCAATCCAAAAGGGGAGGGGGGAGGGGGAGAAGGAAAGTGTGTACATACCCTGTTTCCCTGAACGTAAGACCTAATCCTGAAAAATAAGCCCTAGGATGATTTTTCAGGATGCTCATAATATAAGCCCTACTTCCAAAATAAGCTCCAGTTAAGTGAAACCCCACCCTCCACCCTTGTGCAGCCACCAGAAGTGGAGGACACGACTGTCTTTGAATAAATGTATTCAAAATTGTTGTACATGGGAAAAAAATCCCCTGAAAATAAGCCCTCATGCGGGGTTTTATTTTGGAGCAAAAATTAATATGACCTTGTCTTATTTTCGGGGAAACACTGTAAGTACGTACTGCAAAAGTGCCTTTAATCGCCTCCTCCAAAGTTCTACAAGGCTGTTTGAATACTAACTGCAAACACAAGTTTCCGGGTGGAATGAACTCCCTCCCACTCGCTTTGCCGTATGTTTCATTTCCCATAATTACTTTGATGCCACTTATTCATAAAACCCTCAACTGAACAGGACCCTCTTTTTTGTAAGGGGGGGGGACAGAATTACCTCATGCTAGAAGCACGCAAATGCTCAGCACAGCAGCCAAGAGTCAATTGGGGGGGGGACTGGAGCAGGGAGGGTATCTTTACGAATCTGGCAAAGGGAGCCACCCCCCAGCAGCTCCCCTGGCCATGCCTCGCCTCACACCCGAGCCCACAGCTTCTCGGAAAAGGCCGGGAGCTCTCCTCTTCTGGCATTCTTTCCAACGAAGGCTAAATTGGTCTTTGTGACCTGTTCCAGAAGAGCCTAGCTCCTCATCCTGATGGGTGGCTCAGTTTCGGAGCCCCAGCGCTTGGGTCAGGGCAAAACCGAAAGCAGAAGAGGCGGAGAGTTTGCTCCAGCACCTGCAGAACGTGGTGTCCCACGTTTGGTGGAGCCCGTTGGCCCCGTGGCTGCAGGGGTCGGAGTTCCTTTGAGGCGACCGGCTGGGCCCCTCAGGCGGAGACCCGGTCCCCATAGCTGAGCCGGCCTCCTCTCCGTGTCTGGAAGCTGCACAGCCCACTGACAAGCAGAGCACAGCCCCTTTGCCACCTCAATGAACTGCCGGGTTGCAGTTTAGGTGGTTGGGGGACGAGGAGGGGGAGGAGGAGGATTTATCCCCACACAGATGGGAAGCCCCCTGGGGTTTGCTGTCAGCCCCCCAAAAGCTGCCTTCACTGCCTTTCATAGTAGTCAGCCTTGCATATTTCAGATCCAGGACAACTTGGCCCCTGGCCAGAAGGGAGGGTCCCTCTGCTGCTGGGCCCCTTCCCCCTCCCTTACATTGTTTGCAAAAGGCTTGATAAATGTTTCTATGCAAATAAACTCATAGATTTTGGTAGCAGCAATTGTGTCCCTTGTTGTCAACAGTCAAACCAAACAAACTGGCTACAGTACTGACTGCCTCAGCAAAGCACCCCTGAAAACGGGGGGGGGGGCTGCCGACTCCTGCTGCCCCCCCATTGTTCCTTCCATCTAGGTGGGGCTCCCCTGAAGTACACCGCCCGAGCTGGAGGGCTCAGAAGGCCGAGGTTCTCCGAGCCACCACACAGAGACTGCGTCCCAAGAGAGGAGGTCCCGGAGATCCAGGAGTTGGGGAGGGGCCCCGCGGTGGGCGGGGGGGCGCCTGTTTTGGAGGAGAGGCGCGCAGGAAGCCGCTGGCCCTCCGAGGCTCCTGGTGCGCCCCAAGGGCTACCAGGCCGCCACCCTCCACCCCCCCACGCCGCCACCCCCCAGCAGCAGCAGCAGCAGCTGCAAGCGGAGCCGGGCGGGGGGAGTCGGGGGAGAGCAGGCTCCGCCCGCCGGGCGTACCTGGGCAGAGGCCCCGCCCCTTCCGCTTCACCTGGCAGACCGAGGCGCCCAGGAGCAAGATGGGACCGAGCCGGCCGCGGAAGCCGCCCCCACCCGGCGGGGAACCGGCCCCGCTCCTGCTGCCGGGGCTCCTGCTCCTGCTCTGTGAGTTAATGGATGGGCCGG